ACCCCTCCGCCTCCGCCCTCTCCTCCCAGGCACCTTCGTCGCCAAGGAGGCGCTGTGCGCGCGCGTGCGCGACGAGGAGGAGGGCGACCTCTGCTCGGTCGAGGAGGGCTGCGCACCGCCCACGCTCGGCTCGCTGTCTAGAAGCGGAAGGCGTGTTCATGTGCCCCCAACAGCGCCCGAGAGGCACGTACTTCCGCCGTATTCACTTGTACTCCCCCTCGTCTTCACGCGGTGCTCTGAAGACGCTGCACACGAGACCGTCCTCCCGCCCCGAGGTCGGCGTACTCAGCACGTAGGCTGCCCATATCTCCCCATATCTCCCCATATCTCCCGCCCTGAGGTCGGCGTACTCAGCACGTAGGCTGCCCATATCTCCCCATATCTCCCCATATCTCCCGCCCTGAGGTCGGCGTACTCAGCACGTAGGCTGCCCATATCTCCCCATATCTCCCCATATCTCCCGCCCCGAGGTCGGCGTCCTCAGCACGTAGGCTGCCCATATCTCCCCATATCTCCCCATATCTCCCGCCCCGAGGTCGGCGTACTCAGCACGTAGGCTGCCCATATCTCCCCATATCTCCCCATATCTCCCGCCCTGACGTCGGCGTCCTCAGCACGTAGGCTGCCCATATCTCCCCATATCTCCCCATATCTCCCGCCCCGAGGTCGGCGTCCTCAGCACGTAGGCTGCCCATATCTCCCCATATCTCCCCATATCTCCCGCCCTGAGGTCGGCGTCCTCAGCACGTAGGCTGCCCATATCTCCCCATATCTCCCCATATCTCCCGCCCTGAGGTCGGCGTACTCAGCACGTAGGCTGCCCATATCTCCCCATATCTCCCGCCCTGAGGTCGGCGTACTCAGCACGTAGGCTGCCCATATCTCCCCATATCTCCCCATATCTCCCGCCCCGAGGTCGGCGTACTCAGCACGTAGGCTGCCCATATCTCCCCATATCTCCCCATATCTCCCGCCCCGAGGTCGGCGTCCTCAGCACGTAGGCTGCCCATATCTCCCCATATCTCCCCATATCTCCCGCCCCGAGGTCGGCGTACTCAGCACGTAGGCTGCCCATATCTCCCCATATCTCCCCATATCTCCCGCCCTGACGTCGGCGTCCTCAGCACGTAGGCTGCCCATATCTCCCCATATCTCCCCATATCTCCCGCCCCGAGGTCGGCGTCCTCAGCACGTAGGCTCGCTGTACGTGCGCTCCCTCTACTGGGCCCTCTCCTCCATGTCACCGATGGGGTACGGCGACGGCCCGCGCGCGATCACCGACCTCGAGTTCGCGCTCTCCATCATCGTGCAGGCGGCGGCCTCCTCCTCCTCCTCCCCTGCCCTCGTCCTCCCTCCTCCTCCCTCCTCCTCCTCCCCTGCCCCCATCCTCCCTCCTCCTCCTCCCTCCTCCCTCCTCCTCCCCTGCCCTCCTCTCATCTCTCCCGGCCCCCAGGGCGCCGCGCCGCTTCACGACATGCGCGCGCGTGTGTGTGGGCAGGTGACGGGCGCGTGCTGCTTGGCCATCATCTTCTCCCGCGTCGCGCAGTTCATCAACCAGCGCGACGCGGCGCGGCTGAGGTGCGACTTTCTCTTTGCTCCACATCCCCGCGTCCGGATCAGGGGCACACTGGAGCCCGTCAGACACGCTCCCGCGGGCAACCTCCACGAAAGGAAGAGCTGCGCAGTACGACTGATGTTCCCCCCAGGTACGACCCCCCCCCCCCCCCCCTCTCCCCCCCCACCCTCACCCACGTGCGGGGGGCCTTGCACTTGTAATAGAGTTATGTCACCCTGG